TATAAGCAAAGAGACTTTAAATGGGTATTGAATGGAAACAAGTGAAGTGATGTGAAGTGACCTTGCTTAAGTTCAATGAAGTGAACTGAGTTATAGTGAAGTTTGAGGGCGAAAGTCCTTGTGTGACTTGGTAAACACTGAGGATACTCTAACAGTATTGCGGTTACTAAGGATACTCAAATGCATTTGGATTATTTTGTGTGTGTGTGTCCTTGTAATGTTTGTACCCCAAGTTATTGTATATGTTTGGATTTTGCATCGAGTTTACTTTATTTTGTATTGTTCCCTTTATATATAATCTAATTTCCTTGTTTTTGCCAGTGTAAGGTCTGCTGCTACCGGGTGAACACCCAGTTGCAATAAAATAAGAATAATAGAAGCTTGTTTGAGGCACTATGCTACAAGCCGGAAGGTCGCGGATTGAAGTCCCGATGTGGTCATTGGATTTTCTTTTTCAAATGACCTAATCCTTCCAGCTGCACTGTGGCCCTAGGGACGACTCAGCCTCTAACAGAAATGAATACCAGGAATATTCTTGGAATATTTTTGGTGGTAAATGGCGGCCGACGCGTAGGGCTGACAACCTTTCCGCCATGTGTGAGCCGAGTGTCTAGAAAATGTGGGAACCTCTACATCTCACAACCCTATGGGCCTCCACGGGCTGTTACAGGGATACCTTTACTTTTTCTATATAATAATAACAATAAACTAGTTTTTAAAGGGTTCTGACAGTGGCGGATAACAGACAGAATTACCGGTTTTAGGACATTTTTCATGTTCCGGAATTCTAGGAAATAGAAAACACGACGGAAACACATCCAGTTTCCGAAACGTCGTGTTTTCTATTTCCTAGAATTCCGGACGATGGGAAAAGCCCAAAACCCAGTAATTCTGTGAACAATAAACTACTCAGCTGACCGGTATTTTTGAACCGGAGTAGGGGAACTGTTCCTGAGGGTTCAAGGTCGTTAACAAAACACCCCATTATTCGTACGATCCTTAACTTCTTATTTACAGCACATATTTTACAAACTATTTTTTATAAGATACAATTTTAATATTATGTTCAATTTCCTTTACAGTTTACTGAGTGGTGAACTTTTAAGATATTCCCATAATGCTGTAGATATTTTTCCCCATATTAAAAAATATATGTGTTCAGTCTGTTTCCTCTAGATTTAATTTCATTAACAGTGCTGTACTATGCCTAAAACGCCTTTGAGGAAGCGCCATTATCTGATAGTGATATAGCTTGTTTCATAATGATCACAAAGTTACTGGATTCTATTTTCGAAATAAATTGGAACCCAAATCGAAAATTTCGTTGAAGCACAAGACTTTTCTTCTGTAAAATATTCCAGTTACGACGAAACATGCAAGATGTTTTAGGTAGGCTATAAATGATATTAGTACTTCACTTGACCTTCTTGGCTCGAAAGTAAGAGAAAGGTTTGCTAACGTATAGTTAGGCCGGTCACGGTAGCCGAGCGGTCTAAGGCATGTACTGTCTTCGTTCGCTTGGAAACCGGGATCGTGGGTTCGAATCCCACTCAGGGAATGGATGTTTAGTTTGTCTGTGTGCATTTTTCTGTGTTTGTGTACAGGTAGAGGCCTTCCGAGGAGGTGATCACCCGCCCAAGGAGTCCTACCATATGTGTAAGATCGAGAAAAACCGAAGTGAACGGAGAAGTTCATGGAGGTAGGCCTAGGCCCACTGGGGCTGTAGTGCCAAAAAAAACGTATAATTAGTTGAAGAATTGTAACGATTGATTAATTTTCGGATTCACATATCATGGTCATTCAAATATATAACTAACATATTAGGACAAGTCATTTAAGAAAGGATAAATCACGCTTTACGTTTACTGTCATATTTTCATAATCTATAACGACGATATTAAATTCACCGAGGTCTGTGATATGTGTAAAAAAATGCCAAAATTTTTCTTTTAAATATAGTGCCACATTTCTTTGTTTATTTCTTATCCTGCCGCACTGAACTTGGAAGTCGTTTTTATTATTTATATTTAAAATTATTCTGTGCTCATGAGAGGCATGTCTTGAGACATCTGTACGACTGTGTTGTGAAGCAGCATGCTGTCAGTTATAATTAATACCTCACGTCTCTGTTGATATGTTACTGCATCATTTATAGTGTTAATATTAATGTACGTCAGTCCGAATATGTAACAGACTGAAATATGCAAATTTATGACTCTCTTATAAATTCTTCCTGGCCAATAAATATAAACGCAGTGACATTTCACTGTACTCTCAGCCTACATCTTTAACACAAGGGGAATAGAGGTCATTGCATAGTGGACGAGCTAGTTGCTTGCAATGCGCACTTCTTTTCTACAAGCGAATACATATGCGCATACCCGAAGTATCTAGATATTGCTATGGATTTCATCAACGCGTTGTCAGGCAACAGCTCTGTAAACACGGTCCAACACGCAACAATAGAGGAAGCTGTGTTTTCTATAGATCCGACGCGCCAATAGACTGGCTGGATAGCGATCACGTGATATATGTTTACTGTAGGTCTATGTCCGTCCCGCACCTATACGTAGTATAAGTAAGAGTGACAGAAGTCGATCAAGGCAGTTAAGGAGTCAGTCGTAAGCTGGAGGAGTGAGTCCAGAAGAATTTTTAGTTCCGAGGTTCCAGAGTGACTGAAGACGAAATAGCAAGAAGACTTCATAGATATTTGAAGTGCTAGTTTCTGTGTAGAAATCCGTTGCCTGGAGACGACTAGTGAAGACGGACAATCCTAGTGCGTGTGCAACGGTTAACTGGAAAGTGTGTAAATCAGTGATAGCGCTGTATTAATCGTAATTAAGAGTACTTGTAACCGAAGTGGCAGTAAATCCAATCATCCTCACTAGAGCCCGTTATTTTCGTCATGGGTATGACCCTACATGTGACAATATCATCACCATCATCATCATCATCATCGTCATACCCAGAGGTCGTTTGTTCGAGGTCGTTTGTTCTGATAAGGTTCTTTATATTTTTGTCGAGGTCCTCCAGAAATGTCAAAGTTGGTATAGCGAAGTCGGTATAGCGACTGGCTACGGGCTGGACGACCGAGGGGTGAGAGTGCGAGTCCCGGTAGGGTCAAGAATTTTTCCTCCACGTCTTCCATATCGGTTCTGGGATCCACCCAACCGCCAATGCAATGGGTAATGGGGGCTCTTTCCTCGGGGGTAAAGCTGCCAGGGAGTGAAGGTGACAACTCATCAGCTAATGCTGAGGTCAAAAATGTGGGTCTATACATCCACTCCCCCATATTCCTTCATGGCGTAGTGCGTAAATAGTTAAGCACAGGGACACCTTTAACTTTTACCTCCAGAAATGTGTTGGTATTGTATATTACTCGTATTTTAAGGCGCATCCTTCAGTCATTGAGAATCTTCATTCCACGTAGCGTTATATTTTGGATGTAGATAATAAAGCGTCATCAAACAAGAAGGAGAGAATTATGATCTTCATCACCGCCATCTGCTTAATTGTCATTTCCTTTTTCTGCAGTGTTGCCATACATTTTGTTGTTTTGATGGTGTTGTTCTTCCGCTTCAAGAGTTAAGCCTTGTAACCTGTTTCGTGTTAAATCGAATTATTTTTCCATCTTGTTTTAGGTCTTCCTGTTCCTCTTTGTCCTTTCGGTTCGAAATTTAATATCTTCGGGAGTCTGCTTTGACCCTTTATTGAAAATTGTTTATATAAATTCCTTTTGTGTTTTTTCTAATTCTTCGTTCGGATCATAGGTATTTAACCCTTTAACATGATCATTTTTCTTGTTTGGATCGCAATGGTATTTTTTGTAAAAACCTCTAATCATCGTTGCGATTTACGTGAACTCATTTTAAGGAGAGTTCTTTCGTTTGGGATTTAGCGAGGTGCATTCAGTTAAAAGTCAATCAACGTTTCGGAGTAACATTTCGCCTACGTAATCAGTGTTAAAGGAAAGACAGGCAAGAAATCAGCTCTGCTTGCTGCTTGTTTTATGCTGGTTTCTTGCATGGCTTACTTTTCTGCACTGAATAAGGGGACAATATGTTCCTCCTAAACGTCGGTTAGCTCTCAACGGGCTACGCGGCGTTATATTGGAAGAAAGAACTTAATAGTCACCGCTGTGAGAACCTGAAATCCTACAACTTATGTTCTACTCATGAAAAGTTCTTTTCTTGTGAAAACTGAATCCTGAGTTCTTGAAGAATGTCTTCGTTTCTTTTGTATTCACGCATAGTTTATCCAGTCATTTGTTTAAAAAATTACATATTTTTAGCCCCTAGTCTATTTTTGTCTAGTTTCGTATCAAAATTTAACATCCTTAAGGAAAGGATTAGAAGATCTGATATTATGTGCAGTTTCAACATTGTACTTCTGTCAGAATACTATTTAAATCACTGAATATTTATAATAGGTTCATGCTTCTTTAATCTGTATCTTCATCTTCATGACACGAAGTGTTCCATCATTGCTAGGACAGGGATCACTTCGGAGACCTAACATAGTCGTTGGTTAGAATTGAACTTTGTTAAAATGGGGTCAAAGGGTAATTGTGTGGACAGAATTCGCTCACCTTAAGATAGGATCTAATGGTGTAGTTTAGTGAACATGGTAATTATACTTATGTTTCTATAGACGCATAAAATTTATGAATCATTCAAGGAAATCCGAATACCGTGGAGTTATTATCTTGTTATCTATTTGACTTGATTTCTGATTAGTGTTTTTACGTGTAAGATAATATTTGTGGTTTAGTGTTGTGAAATAAGACATATGTAACATTTATTGGTATATACTGCTTAAAACAAACCTTTTTATAGGCTTACATTAATACAACTAGCTTTTACCAGCTATTTCGAAATATTTTTTTTTTCCGGAAGAGAAGAATTGCATTAAAGATGTTTGTTGTTATGATCACGTATTATTATAAAATAGCTTTTTAGCAGTTAAACAGCTGACGTAAACGAAGATGTTCACCTGCACAGGTGCAGCAGATGCCTGAGGACCAAGTCTCCGGAATGGCAGCAGACGATTGGGAGGGGTATGTCGACAACTGTCAGCTTTCCAACTACATGTCATGGGATTGCTGTTGAAGAGAAGTTCGCCAGCGGCAATGACGGACACAGGCAGGAGTAATAGCGAAGCTTGCCGATAACTGTTACGAGTACATCCGTGCATCTCTACATCTGCAAGAACCAAATCTGAAACAAATCCCCGCTAATCTGTAGTAGTGCTACGTTTCTTTGGCGTTACTTCAGCAGTAGAAAACACATAGAGAAATATATACGATTTCGAGACACTTTCGACGTCTTGCCACATCTTGAATCGCGTTTGCTGCCTTGATTGAAACGAAATTCTTTAATTGGAACGGTTGCAACGCCGCCTAAGGCTGTGAAAACGAATTCAACACGTTACCAATACCTGGTTATGTGTCTTGGCAAATGCCGTACATGACATGTTGGCGATAGTTTATTAGTCCGTTTGTTTTGTTTATCTGTACAGTTTATATGTGCGTCTGATTGTTTTTTATGCATCCTCAGCGCTGACAATGTTGAAGCCCGGATCAAAATCGGGGAATATTATAGATTTTTTTTAACAACCCTGGTTTAAATATATCGAATATAATGACACTCGGATGACTTAAGAAGAATTTTGGTGAATTTCAGGATGGTTTATAAACCTTAGTTTGTGCAAAGTAAAAGTCCATAAAGCGCAGTTCAAAATAACAGTTATTTTTTAATGGCCAGTTTCAATCGAGTTATGGAAAAAATATGCGATAAAAAATCTGATACATCTGTGCTGTAAGATCAAATGTTCCTTTGTTGATGAATGATATATGTGAATTTATTGCCGTGTTGAGATACATGCGAAAATGTGGTCGGAAGTGTGAGTAGAGGTGATAGGATTAGGGGGTGGCAAATTAGGATCGGATAGCGTGGTGCTGGCGGGGATGAGGGATGGGCTGCACGCCAAGCATCCTCCACCATTACCACCACCAAAACAGCACCAACACCACCACCAACAACAACAACCATCGCAATGGACCAGCCGAAGAAGGAGACGGTGTTCCTGCCGTCGGCACAGGGAACAGCACGCATCTGACCACAGGTAAGATGCCATGTACCCGTGTTTGTCGTCAAACTGTGTTATTGGTGGCAGAATGTTTATGCATAATAATCGTGCCATTCGAAGCATTTGAGGAAGTGCACTTAGATAAACTAACAAGCAATACGATGTTTTGGGAACTAAGATCTAAAAGTTTATGACGATAATAAAGGTATTGTTTTTTCTGGACGTTGTCCATCGTCCTGTTCTTATTTAAAAAAATACAACGTTTCGGAGACTGGAATCTATCTCCGTCTTCAAGAGAAACCTACTCGTCTGGGCAAGTCGATAGAGGTAGTCCCTGTCTCCGGAGACAGGTACTAGATATATCGAACGTTGTGTGCTTTAAATATAAACATGGCGATGGATAATGTCCAGAAATACAATAATTATATGATGTTTGGTGTTTTGACAACTGTGAAAATTCATATTGTGATATTCTGTGTCGTGACACTGGTGTTACCTTCCTCTTCTGCCCTAAAGATAGAGTTAGCAAATTCCTCCAGAACATTTGCAACCATCTCTGTTATAACCCAGAAGACCGTAGTTTACACTAACAAATGAATTTATACTGGTTAGCCATAACTTTCACTCGTAACAAACAAGTAAGAACATCCTGCTATGGGTTGATTATTCATTCTCGCTCTCCGTCCTTAATAACTGCATATGATGACTGCGTTTCTTCTACATGCAAGGATTTTTTCCCCTTGGTACTACAGCCCCAGTGGGCCTAGGCCTACCTCCATGAACTTCTCCGTTCACTTCGGCTTTTCTAGATCTTACACATTCGGTAGGACTCCTTGGGCCGGTGATCAGCTCGTCGTGTACACAAACACAGAGAAACGCACACACACACACTAAACAGTGGGATTCGAACACACGATCCCGGTTTCCAAGCGAGCGAAGACAGTACATGCCTTAGACCGCTCGGCTTCCGTGACCGACACATGCAAGGCATACATACCGTATTTATCAAACGTACTTATATGAAATTCAGTACATTTATTTACATGCGAAATCCTAAATAAATGAATGTTTCTTATCCAAAAGCACTAGCACGAAATTTCTCAACTTGTTAATAACATATCAAATAGCGTCATTCATTGGAAAATCTCCTTTAAATTGATTTATATGATTCCTTTGATGACTACATCATGCGTTAGAGGATTATTTTGGAACTTGGTGCCGTGGATGGTATATTGGTATTATCTGTTACACACAGTGCCGCAATCAATGGCATTTTATGAGCCAAAGAGGATTAATAGAAGCATTTCATAACCATTGAAATTTTGGCGAAATGGTCAGGACGTTTCCAGTTATAGCGTTCGGGAAATCAACAGTTCGACAGTGTACGTGTTACCAAATTTGTAGTACATGGTTCAGGCTCACATATACATAGAATAGTCACAGGTTGGGAGTGGGAGCAGGAAGCCTGTGGCATGTGGAGCTAATTCCAATGGACAGAGTCGTTCCTGAGAGTCCCAGCCGGACGAGATGTTTCCATCTTTTATGCTTGCATTACCCTATTCACAACAACCTGCCTCTGCCTCATGTCCTAACCTAGATGAATGCAGGGAGAGTCAGTATATAGGTTACAAATGGAAGTAAAACAGCCGTAATGGACGTTATACGTTTTCTATGTGTATTACAAGGTAGCAACACAGTCCAGCTTCATGACAATCTAGGTAGCAGATGCGCATGTTCATGTTCAGAGGTTTGTTTCAGTAGTCAAAACGGCGACCGTGCTTGTGGTGTATACTACCGAAGAGCTATATATATGTTGCTGGTTTATTCAGAACGTTTCAGGTTATTAAGATAGGTACTTTTGTTGAGGTTTGTTTTGATTTTGATAACCGAAAGTTTCCAGTTATAATTTCAACGGGTTTTACGCCTGTCTTTCTAAATATAGTAGAAACATAGTGACACTGCGTGAGATAATGATGACGCAGTGCGTTGATTTAGAAGATGTTCTGAAAACCTGTATTATCTGTTTCCTTCAGTACTGGATGATATGGTAAGAATGTTAAACGTGTCCCTAGTTTTATGAGACCACCGGGAAGACCAAGGCCTAGGTGGGTGGACAGTATTAAAATGGATATTAGAGAGATAGGATGGGATTGTATGGATTGGATTGATCTGGCTCAGGATAGGGACCCGTAGATGGCTCTTGTGAACACGGTAATGAGCTTTCGGATTCCATAAAATGCAAGAAAATTCTTGAGTAGCTGCAGATTTGGCGGCTCCTCAAGAAGGGCTCAGCTCAGTGAGTAAATAAGTAAGTAAGTACATGGAAGGTGCAAATTTTTTGTGTGTAGTGTGTCCTTTGTGTGTTGTGTGTCCATTGTTGTGCAGTGTCGTGCGCTATGATTTGTTTGAGTGTGGTGTGTTATTTTGTGTGATGTGTGTTATTTGTGTGTTGTGTCTTATTGTAGTACCACTGCCACCGGGTAAAAACACATTTGCACTTAAATAATAATAAAGTATCCAATTCATAATGAAAATACTTGACTTGATTATGTTTTGGGTGTGGTAGTTGTATTAGTATCATTTTAAAACATCGTCTGGAAAGGAAAGATTTGATTTACCCTCAGATACTTTAGACGTGTCGTGTTCGGAGTTTGCAGCGCAGTATGCTGCATATAGTGCATTAAGCGAACGTTTTCGGTTGTTTGACTACTCAGACCTTTAGCACTCGAAACATTTTCGGAACCCCTGATAAAACTCTTTTATCTAAAATACAAGGCCACAGATACATAATGATAGCAACAAATAAACAGTAAATAAGGATGAGATCGACACATTAATTTAATTGCACATATTTAAGAATAACAGTCCCAGTTTGCGTGTACGAAAAAGGAAGCTTAAAATTAATATAACATATTTTGAACTTTCAATGCAAAGATTTATTCTTCTTTCTCTCTTCACAAATTATTTTAACGTCTGTCTTGATATCGGAAAATTGAATCCTGTCATCCGGCGCCGCATGTAACCTATTAGCGTTTTTCTGGTTATGCTGCTGCGCAATTCGATAATCAGGCTTCGGATAAGAGTGTGCTGACAAAGGGTATCAGCTGATGAATTTCACGTCCTGATAAAGCTTTTTCCTCTGAGACAAAACACATAATTTATAAATTTCTTCATTTGAGAGTGACATTTCCAAAATATAGAAGTCGCAAAATGAAAATTATTTTAAGGGACATTTAGAACAGTAATAGTAATAATATTTAAATTATCTTTTTCATATCTTAACGTACTTTTATTGCGGGACCTTATTTTCACTTTGCGGAATTTCAGGGTTACAAGGAACACCGTTTGGGAAACAGTGGTTATACATGCACTTTGTGGGGTGAACAGGTGAAAATGAAAACCGACACCGGATGGATGATTTCTGTAGATGTAGGCTGTAGTTGCAGACACTAATAGTTAGGTCTGTGTACCGCCAGATAGCCTTGTTCTCCGAGATCATCCAGTTAAACCCTTTAAATCGGAAATTTAATCTAGAAATTCAGACTGTGATTCACTAAGAAACACAATGCTTCTCCATTGCAGCGATCAAATGAAGAGCTCCATACTCCGGAAAACGTACAAAATCCATTAGTACTCTCTGTGAGAGTAATATAGAATTACTGTTACTATTAAAGCTCTAACCGCTCTGCTGTTTGCCGTCTTTGCGAAAGGCGTTGTGATTTGACTTTACTCGCGGTTCGCTTTGCATTCTAGCTCCTGTTTTGCGGCTGAGCAGTGGTCTTCTCGGGCAGACAGAGTACACAGAAATTATTAGCCAACCTCTTTTTTTAACATTTAATATATCACTTTATTTGTCGCTGTTCAAAATTTGATTTGTTAAATATTTTTTTTCCCCTTGGCACTACAGCTCCCGTGGGCCTAGGCCTACCTCCATGAACTTCTCCGTTCACTTCGGTTTTTCTAGCGCTTACACATTCGGTAGGACTCCTTGGGCGGGTGATCAGCTCGTCGCAAGGCCTCTACCTGTACACAAACACAGAAAAAGGAACACACACAAACTAAACATCCATTGCCCTGAGTGGGATTCTAACCCACGATCCCGGTTTTCAAGTGAGCGAAGACAGCACATGCCTTAGACCGCTCGGCTACCGTGACCGGCTTTGTTAAATATAGGTCTTCACAAATACAATGCTTTCCAACCTTGCACCAAAGTGTTTACTAAAATAAAGTTTTCATTTTTTTTCCCTGTTAGGAAGGCCTGTACCAAAACGTCTGTGCGAAAAATACGTTCACCCGTCCTTTCTCCTTGAAGGACAACGCCTAAATATTTTAGAAGCCAAGCGTATATGACAGTACCAAATTTTAAAATTTCTTTTTGTAAAAATTACCCCCTCCCCCATTGCACTGTAATTGCTTCAGTTTTGGAGTTAAGGTGGTCTTTAGTTTCTGTATTGAACAATCAACTGGTTATTCTTGCGCTAGGATATGACGTAGTAATCACGTCATATACAGCTGTTTTCTTTCCTGCACATATTCTGGCTGCCTTCCCTAGGCTACGGATGTTTTGTCTTATGTTACCTGACAACTCCAGAACGCTTGTTCTGGACACTTACAATGTAAACGGCTATATCGCTCTGATACTGGTCTACATTTCCAAGGAAACAATTCATCTCTGTTTGTTATCAGAAGCTAGTTATTCTATTTAAGTTTGTAAACTAACCAGGTAGTAATGGCATTTGGTCTCTTATGACTTCCCACAAATATGAATTACGTTTCTATTTTAAGTTGCTCCTCGCATTAAGCAATTACAAAGCATATTGTACAAATAGTTACAACGTCGATTTAGATGATTAAACGTGCTTTATAAGCCAGCGTTCTTGGTTTTGAAATGACAGCGAAGTAGGCGGGAGCATTAATACTGTTCCTGTGGGATATCAATACGGGGATTTTGCCCTCCAGGTTGGGGAGTCTCGAATCTGAGACAGTAAAATATGGCCATGGGTTTCATAGGACTAGGACCTGAGAATGACTGCGCT